TGCATAGTAGCCACTATAGACTTGTTGGCACCTTTCCATCTTTCCAGACCGTTCTGTTAAATTGTACTATGGCGGGTGTGACTAGCAAGACCCACCTGAACCGATGTCTGTCAGTTTGTTTCTGAGACCAATATAGGCCAGAGATTTCCTAGCAGAAATCCTGGACAGTATTGTAGAGACCATGTGTTGCCCATGCTTCATGATCTCTATCCCGGACTGCCTTTTTGTAGCCCAACTATATGTGTGCAAATAATGCACAATCTTATTCACCCTAGTGTACAACCTTTTTATTTTCTGATCTGATAAATAATTAAAGATTCACTCACATTTGCAGTTCTCTCACACAGTTTATCTCTTCTGTAAAGTATAATGTGCACTTTGTAATTCAGATAACAGTGTTGCTTTTTTTAAATTTTTTGAATGACTGATCTTCTAAATTATCACCATTGTTGTTGTTGTTGTTGTTGTTGTTGTTACATTCCTGTCATGTTACCCAACAAAACAAAAATGTGACTTCACATGATTGTATTAGTAAAAAAATAATTTCTTCTTAGTTAAACTCAGAAGTGGCCAGATTTTCTTTATGACTCAAGTGACTCTTGTATCGACCCATCATAATACTGTAAATATTGTCCATTCCTTTCATGTAGTTTTCTTCATTGGTTTGCCTCAAATTTTTTATTCCAGGTGTCTCTTTTCTTCTTTTGCTATGTTATTCTGTATTTTGACTTTCTTGCCAGAAAATATTAGCTGATATTTGCTACATATGTGGTTTAATCACTGATAAATATTTGCTGGCTTCGGTCATCTGTTTTATTTAGCTTAATGTTTAGTTGATGATGACACTTTTCAGTGTTCTGTTGTATGTTATAATGCTACTGTCTGTATGCACAACTTTTTAGGTGAGTGTTGGATTGTTCTTAAGAAAGAGAATAGGGGCTTTTGAGCTGAATTTCTATAGAAAGATTCTCAGAATATATTGGACGAAAAAGAGGAGAAATTCTGACATCTTGAAAGATCTAAACACAAAGGAAGATTGGCTAAAATAACAGTATTCTGTCTCGGAAGCTGAAATATTTTGGTCATATCAAGCACCAGGACGGATTGAAAAAAAAACTTATAGCAGAAAGCTTGGTACCTGGAAGGAGGGGCAGGGGCCGACCAACACGAAGATGGGCACAGGATATAAGTGATTCCTTGAGAATGAAAGTGCAAAGCTGGCGAGAGACCAAGTTTCTTTCAGGCAGACCCTGATGAGAGCGACGTTCCCAAAGGACCTGCTACAAGATGATGATGATGTTGGATTGTCAGGTTTTTATCCTGGCAAGTGTCTCTTTTTTCACCAAACCACGTGGAAATATCTACTTATTTAGTGAGTGTGTGGGTTTGAATTCTAACACTGCACACCCACATGAGAAACTGGTCTAATATCTGAGTTATGTTAATCCCAGGCACAGTCCTGGAAAACCAAGAAAACAGCAAGAGTGGCTCATACAATAAAATGAAAGTAACTGTACTTGTATCCACAGGAGTAGGAAAAGGGATAGATAGATATCAAGATGAATCCAATGAGATGATACAGATACACAGTTAATCCCAACAGACTTTCTTCTCTCCTGGTATTAATGAATAACGAATGCCCCCACCAAGTGTGAAAGTGATTGTTTAACCTTTAAAATTAAAGTGTTAAATTCCACAAATTATGAATGTAGCCACTTAGAACTATAAATAATAGTTAACAAACTATTTGTTAACAAACTTAAACATGATTTTATTGAATAAATTTAACCACAGATAAAAGATAATAGCTCAGTGATGTAATGAGTCAGTCAATGAGTTTAAGATGGGCATATGCTAGTAGAGTGAGGATGGTGTTACGATGGTGATAACTGATTCGAACATAACTTAAAAACCTAGAGCCGATCTCACGATGAGACTGTCTCTTTTCCAGTTTATCATCCTCACTCTTCAAGCAGGTCGTTACAGACTGTCTGCAAAGAATGGATGCCGACTAGTCCCTGCCCCATGTGGTAACTGATAAAGAAACAAATACCCATGTGTAAGCTGAGGTTTTTTATCCATAGTAAGCACATTCATTTAGAGATTAATGCATCCCCCCTCGAACGAGAGAAAATCGGCCACCATGGCAATAATGGGAGGCTAAGAACCAGGAAACTAGACCTCCTGGACGACCAAGGGTGCACTGGGAAGACAACATCTGACAGTCCCTAACTGACAGAGGACTGGAATGGAACAAAGCCAGAAAGGAAACTGCTGATAGACGTCTGGCGATCTCTCTGGCAAACCTCTACACCCCAAGGTAGAAGAGGAGCGACTAAGCATCCCCCCTCCTCATATACACCCTCTCCATCTAGTCTGGAACAGCTTTTTCTCACATTGTAGGTGTTACATTTCCTGCTTCCCTCTACTCATGTTCTGTAATGATAGTTGTGTCCTTTAAGTCTGATGTTGTCTCTCATGAAGACTCACAATGACATTCAGTTTAACAGAACGAGTTCTAGAATTAACGCCTGAAATAATATGCACTCCCAGAATGATAAAAATATTTCTTGGGCGATATCAAATGAAAAACATCTTAGGGATTCATTCTCCAGCGTCAGTCTCTGGCATTAACCCCCCTGTGAGTTGAATACATTTCACTGTATTAGCTGTAAGTAAAATAGATTCAAAATAACTACACGTGAAGAGACTGACAAAACCGTCTTCACGCCTGTGATTTCATAAAATGATAGTACATTAAATTTCAATGTTAACATCAATATTCAAGTTTTTTCTCCCCATCTTCAGCCTGCCAGGTTCTGTGTCTGCTAACATCTCCCTCAGACCAGTGTCATACTAGCTACCTGACCTGCACTCAAGTAGGGTAATCTTAGGGGGAGATGATCACAATTAGCCTGAGTTGTCTACTCCTAACGGTCTGGCTAGGAGATAAATATCTGACACCTCAGTTCTGCAAGCAAAACCTCCTGCCACTATGTCTGTGTTTTCCACTTCACTGATGCCACTAAGTCTTCCTGCTCAGTCTTATTTGTATGCTTGACACCTTACCTCTGGGCAAGAGTCTGAATATTTTATATCAACTGCAGTCCAGGGAAAATAAATAGCTTTGTTCTGGATCGACTAGATTTAGTTTACAGTCCAGGAGCATAAATCCTCTATAACATAAAATATGTGGGAAACAATTAGGTTGAGGAAAGACAAGTTCTGAAGTCAGGAGCATGTCATCACAATAATTGGGGATTTTGAGCCTAAGGATTTAAGTCTGCATGGTTAGGGCAGTGTCTATAGACCGTGTGGATTTCATAATAACACTACTGTATTCACAAAGACTTTACTAAGTCACTCCCAGATTATCATAACAGCTAGCCATTGGCGTAATGATGCACCAGGGTTTTAATTTCCTTGATAGGCATTTTTATAAAAAAAACAGCTCTTGTGGCTTTTGGACAAAGGTGCAAGAGTCGCGCCACGAGAGAGGTTAGGACCTCACCATGTAACTTTTTTCCCAAAGATTTAAATATTAATCACAGCCAGTCCCCATTGTGGAAATGGCATAATTTGGTTTAAACATGGTAAAATGGCTCTACTATGCTGAGAAAACATGTTAACACATTTACATGATTGGTACACATGCAGAAAAGCTAATCATGTATGGCACAGTTCTAGAGGCAGAAAGAACTAAGTTACCATGCTAAAGATACACGTGAATGTTCATTTTCTATTATGAAACTGTTGTCTATATTTTTAACAGTTACCATTGATAACTCTGAACTTTACCGCATGGGTGAGAAAACACTGATATCAGGTGAAGGTGGGTTTCTCATTTCTCACTTACTGTAGATTATTGCCTTTACTAATCCAAAGAATAATTTGCTGGTTTTTAGATGTCACTAATCTTTGTAATCTTTGTTATCCGTGTTATGAGTTATTATAGCCTTTAAATTTGTGATAACTTTGTTGGTAAACTTGTTCATGTCCTGAGTATTGTGAATAGTGGCAACATCATTTCAGGCTGAAAGCAGTGGAAACAAATTGTGTTCACACACACACTCACAAAAAAACCCACCACAAATGCTAAAGGACCCTTCGGCACATCATACTTTTTGTGTTAGCCCTATAATTTTTATAGACTAATCACCACTTGATGGGCGATTAGGTCAACATCATACTAGCTGCCTTTACTCCCCAGAACATTTCCTGGTGCCCATTTTAGACTGAGTTGCATGGGAATGGCTTTGTGCGATGAAGTTGAATGTGATAACATAACATTTAGACTGAGTTGACCTGGGAGCCCTAGGTCAGTTGTAAAAATCAACCTGAATACAGGTTCAAACCCAAGTCCTTCATAGCATTCACCAACTGTAAACTTCTACAGAAAGTTCTGGTTCTTCCACTTCTGAACCTGAGTTTTGCTTGCACATCCATTTGACAGATCTGGCTTATTTATATGCAGACTGTTGGTTCCTCGCCTCTCAGGCAGATGCACTCCGCCTTCAAAGGAAATACCCCTGATTGGTTGATTTTTATGACTGCTTGTTAGGGGGCAGTGGGTTTATTCCTCCCCCCCCCCCACCCTGAATTGAACCTCAGAACCCAGATGAACCACACACACATGCACACACACACACACACAGACAGACAGCCAGAGGGAATCAGACACAAGACCATTGAGTTGGCAAGCAAATGTCAGAATTTTAACATCTTCACAATGGAGGTTGGCTGCAATGTGTCCACTACCAGTTGTGGGAATATTGCCTGACAATTCTCCTATATCTTCTTAGCTTTGACTCTCATCCCGTTGGCTGAAAGCCACACAAATTGTGTTTTTCTAAACTATCCACTGCAAGAATCATAATCTGGTAAATATTGAGGTTTACATTGTGAAACAATGTCACTAACGTCTAAGCTACAGAGCCACACTACCCCATCATAAAAATGTATCACTATAGGATAATACTTGATTTTTTTGTTTTTAACAGTTACAGTTGACAACTCAGATTTGTACAACTTGAATCGGAGATCAGAAGAAGGTAGGTTTATCATTTCTCAGAGGCTTCATTTAAGTTGAGAAAGACAGAGCACACATGGGTGTGTACTGAGTGTAATAACATGGATGTTGTTAACTCTTTCTGCCTCAGATGATTTCACTGGAGAAAATTTATGTTAAAAAAAAAAACCTTGTACATTGCTTGTGATCAGAGGTGATTTCTCTAACATTTTCTGCCAAGTATTAAAAAAATCACAAAATGTGATGGTTGGGACTTAATCTAGCATGTGAACTATTATATAACAGAATCATAATATCCCTGCCATTCAATGTTGCTGATATTTTTTCTCCTCCTCTTCCTCATCTTCCTTCTTCTTCTTCTTCTGCTTCTTCTTTCAACAGGGCAGCTGATACTTATATTCAGCCAGACTGTTATAAATGCACTCTTCGGTCCATATATCAGATTTCAGCAAATCAGCATTTTGGGACATATTTGTCAGAGAGCTGTGGGTCTGCCCACTCCACCCTCTTACGGTGGGGCTCTTGAAGCCACATTGGGATGTGTGTATTCGTGTGTGCATGGGTTTTTCCATAAATGTTTAATACTTGTTTTTCTAAGTGTTGATGTTAAATCAAGAATCGACCTCACAGCATTTCCATAACCACCCTATCTTCATCAACAAGGGCAGAGATCCATCTCTGATGGTACCAATGACCATCTGATTCTATATCCATCTTGCCCTTTCCATGAATATTACATGAAAACTCAGAAGAGATAGAAGAATCTGATACATCAGCACCAGACAGCTCATCCTTTAATAGTCAGCTTTCACACATTATGTTGATAATTGTTAGATACCAGTTTCCATCTTCTGTAGTCAGTAAGAGCCAGTGTATGTGCTTTTATTCCTCAGTTGAAGTTGACAACTCAGATCTCTACAATTTGAATCATCCGGTGTCAGGTAAATATTTATCCATGTTTACCCCTTCTTTTAGTGACTGTCTTTAACTAAACAAGTAAGCACAGGACTGACCCTTTTTCCTCTTAGGCACATTAGGCATGTAGGTCAAGACCTTTATTTTTATAGAGCAATGGTCAAGGCTCTTTGGGAACAAGCAACAGAATCAGTAGAGAAAAAAGATTATTATGGCCTGGAGAGAATGAGGCACCTGGGTGTAACCAGAGGGTCTCGCTGGCTCACTAGACTCAGAGGAAAGGCAAGACGGACATATAACCAGATTGTGACCTGTACCATTAGTATTGGAACTTAGCGCTGGCTGCGGAAGATGAGGACAGAGCATGCATGGGAATGCCCTGAGTGCTGTGATGGCAATTCTTGACTCAACTCATTTCAACTCACTATAGAGCAAGTGGCACTTAAACTGGTGATGTGGTCAGCGTCACACCAACAACACTTACTTCTCAGGGCTTCAGCTGGTACTAATTTTTAGGCTACCTTTATGTTGTAATGCTATTTTTTGGATGAAGTAGCCCTTACTTTTTACATTGACAAAAGAACATGAGAGAAAACTAATCACCTTTGAGATGAAATGTTTGAGAACTACTGTGAAATAGACCAGAAGAGATGGAGTGAGAAACTAAGTGATCACAAGAACTGTTGGAACAGCACCCATCATCAAATTTTTTGAGAAACAAAGAAAGAAACGGTTTGGCCATCCAATGAGAATGAAACCAACGATGCCAGCAGCAAGAGCGTACAACCTTGTTGGGTGATGTGGTCAATGCTCTGTTGGCTGCCTTTATCTCCCACACAATTTCCCGGTACTCATTTTAGCCTTGGTAATCTTGGTAGCCGTAGACAGTTTTAAAGACAATCCCTATCTCACAAGGTATGAAACCTTTGCACACAATGAAGTAATGGATGTGAGAAGAAGCACGGACAGAGCAGATTTCATTAACACTGTATGTACTACATTAGTGGACAGTGGTGACCTCTGCCATCAACACATTTGTATGACCTGGAAGTAAAATGTAATAAAGTATGTCTGTACCACTCTGGAGGCTGAGACAGGAGACATTATAACAGGCTCTTCATGTGAATAAAGTAGAGGTACCTTGAGTAGCTGCTGCATAGGAGGACTGAGCATGCACCAGAATGCCCAGTGTGCAGTGACATCAGTTGTGATAACATAACATAAACTCTTGACCACAAGGCTGGCAGGTAAGTATGCTACCACTGCACTGACACAGCCCTCATGTAGATGTGATTTCCATTATAACCACATACCACTTTCAACACATTGTATTTCAATAGGTGTCATGGTAAGAGACTCACAATACAAAAATTACAGTGATCTGACTCCAACCATCACCACTGCTTCTTCATTACCTCTGAATATGAGAAACAGTGAGTTGTACCAGTGGCTTTTTTTGCATGTTTGTTGATGTTGCATTGGTGTTAATAATGATTCTGATGACATTTCTTCTGTGTATATGGCACATTGTAATTTTGTATATGTTTTTAAGTGTTAAATTTGGGGTGGGGAGACATACCTGTGCTCACACATTTGTTTACATGCTTCCGATCACCATGTACACCTCCCAACTCTCTCTGTCTGCCAGACTGTCTCTTTCTTCTCTCCCAATCTCTTTATCTCTGATGAGTGAGACAAATACATATGTCCAGCTGTTCTAGACAGGTGCATGTTTAGCTAACTTGTCCAGATGACTGAGATAGGCACTCGTCTTATCTGCTCAAGAATTAGAGTTTTAATGATTTAATTATTATTTAATAATTGTATTGTTTCCTAAATATAAGCTAGCTTAGTAAAGTATGTTTTGTGTGTGTGTGTGTGTGTGCGTGACAGAGAGAGAGATCAAGAACCTCCATGATGTAGTGGCTAGATGTTCAACTGTAGGTGTGAAGGTTGTGGGTTTGGGTCCTAATAGAACTAAAAGATTTTTTTTCAAAAAATGACCCTGCTCTCAGGTTAACACAGCCTTGAGTGGGTACCAGGTATGGGCCCTGAGAAGTAAGGATGGCCGGCGTAATGCTGACCACATCACCTACCCAGTGCCAATTGGTTTATAAGTAGAGGTCTAGTCCTATATGCCTAATAGGCCGCCTGAAGGCCTACAAATGGGTCCTTTACTTTACTTTTATATATATATATATATATATATATATATATATACATATATATATATATATATGCACACACACACACAGAGACACTCACATGGGTTTTAGAATCAAAAAGACTTCTGCAAGAGAGTAGAATTAAAATTGTTTCTAGTATTGTCAGCTTTATTTTTCCTTTCTTATTTAGAAAAGCCAGAAGACGCCAGCAACCCATATGAAGACGTAAGTTCTGGAGAAAAATCAAAGCCAAAACCGCTTGCTCCCCAGAAGCCTAAACCTGTTGCAAAACCTAAACCACAACCAAAAAACAATGCACCTGATCAAACCTATGCCATGGTTGTCAAAGTGCCCAAATCTGGTGAGTGCATTTTGTTATTAGTTCAGCGGTTGCCCACTTTTTTTTTGTTTTAGTTATGACTCCATTTTATAGAGGCAAAGTCTTTTGCATCCTCATACAACAAAAATAAGGTTTTTAACTCTTTCAGTCACAAGAAACATATTATACATTAATAGGTTCCTATCTAGAAGCCCAAGGAATGCAAGATGTGCTGATTCTGCATGTCTCTGTGCTACCCCATTGACCCTCTGATGCTAAAACCCCCTGGGATTAAAAGAATCGGGTGAATGAAAACATAGAAATTCATTTTTCTATATAATGTAATTCACAACAGTCTTAACTTATGACATAATTAATACGATGATCAAAATGGTGGGTCTGTCCCCCCCCCCCCCATAGGATTCTGGGACCAATATGAAGGGTTGAAATTTGTAATTTTTATATGAGCGTAAAAGAAAGTCAGCGTACATTAATGACTTTGGTATATGGTGCAAGCCTCGTATTCTTAGATGGATGGAGCCCTGGAGCCCACACAGGGAGATTATTGTTTTGACATGCGAATTTCAATAGTAGTGTTTAATAGAATTGTTATTTATTACTTGTTTGTGTGTGGAATGTGCAGCACATTGGCTTAGAGGCTAGCAAATACGTTTTAACAATTGCATGTGGTAGTCAAGACCTCCTGTGTACTTTGAGCATGGAGACACTGAGAAGGCTGTTGCATCCAAGGATGGAACATGAATGGGTTGGACAGTATGATAGGATGTTGATATGGACAATAAGTAACAAGTTAAAAGTTTACCAGTTTCATGATCCTCGAATACTAATGTTCTATTCTATTCCTGTGGTGCATAATTTAAAAACAAACAACTGTTGTGATAGTTTTTGCATTGTCACACCCTGGAAGTGATTGGGGCACTTTATATTCCCAGAGACAACATATTGTGGCCAACCTCACATGTGGGGATGGGACATATTTTGTGTGTTTTATTTAGATTAACATGTTAATTTTACTCCTGTCCTTTTCTAATGTTTTTTCCCTTAATGTTTCTTCTTTGTTTTTCTAGACAAACCATTTGCTGTCGAAGAAGACAAAGATGAGTTTTTCTTGGATCCATCCCTACAACCAGAGATACCAGAAAAGAATTTTGAGAATCCTTATGAAGATACAAACAGTGAGAAGATCAAAGAGAAGAAATGTGAGTGAATTAGATGTGTGCATGTGTCATATTGTTTTTTTTCAATGTCTACCTAGCCTCCCAGGTTGACCCAGCCTAAATTGGTACCAGGAAATGTCCTTGTAAGTAAAGGTGGCTCCATGATATTTACTGCATCAACCATAGAGTACCAGTTGATTCATAAATGTATAAGGAGCATCATATGCTTGATGCTGCACTGACCTTAAAAGAGTTCTTTACTTATGTTCACTGCAGAAAATGTGGAGCCAGCAATTCCAGTTACCTGTTGATATTATTACTGACTTCTATTCCCAAGTAGTTCCTAATTTATCACTGCCTATCTTAAAGTTGTTTTTTTCTTTTTTAAACCTAAGAGCAGCAGTTTTTTGGTTTTGTCTTATTGACAAATTAGAAAAATACTGCTCTGGGATAGAGGAAGTTTTAGTATTGAGTGAGATTGAATTCAAATAACAGAGGAGTGGGACATAAAGAGTAAAGAAATATGCACTATATAAACATCAACCATTGAAGACACTGTGAGTTTCTTGGTACTGAAAGTTTTAGATGATCTGTTTTTAAATTATTGAGCTAAAATATGAACACTTAATATCTTTGTTATTTTGTCCTTTTATTTTATTTTATCAAATATGTATTCAGTGTGAACTTGTTTATTTACTTTGCAGCATCTGAAAGGAAGAAGAAAAATGGTAAGTATGAGTTAAAGGATCAGCTGTTGTCAGTGCAGAAAGTTGAGTGCTTTCATACTTAAATACAAATGTTTGTACAATATGTGTCTCGTTGTTATGTGCTTCTAGTGTACTACATTTTTGTGGCTAAATTTGGATGTCTTAGCGATTAGCAGTGTTGAAAGAGAGCAATTTAAAGTGCAGGATAGACAGACAACATAAGGGAGGGAGCAGGTGTGCAAGAGAGGAGAAGAGAAAGAAAGCAGAGATTGTGCAAGAGAGAAAGAGAGAGAGAGAGAGGGAGAAAGAGAGAGGCATGCAGAAATTACATGCTAGATACATTTGTCTAGCCCTGAGAATAATGGAGTCAGTGATTCATTCCTAACAACAACAAAATACAGAGTAAACAGGATGTAGGTGGTAATAAAGCTTTATCTTCAAGTAGGCATGAGTAAGTGGGCTAACATACACGATCAGCATTGTATGGAAGATGAGTAAATCAATCAGGGGATTTATGGGGAAGTGAATTACGCACATGTTAAACCAGCACTATGATGATATTTGTTGTAAGAGAGGAAAACTCTGAATGGGAAGACTTCTGCTGTAGAAGCATTGTAACTTACTATGATTTTCCATTTCTACTGTAATACCATTGCAGTTTACTGGGATAAAATAATTTTTTTTTTTCAATTTCTACTCTAATACCATTGCAATTTTCTGGGTTAAATTATCTTTTTTCAACTTCTACTTTAATAACATTGCAATTTCCTGGGATATCTGCTGTAATATCATAACAATTGACTGGTACTTGCTAATCAAAGAATCTTCTGTCCATTGAACTCCCATTCAAACCAATCCCAGCCTTAATTTTGTTTTGTATTTTAAAGTTTTTGTTGAAAAGCTGATTGCTAAAGAACTCAGTTATTTGTTGAACTAGAGCATTTTGGTTGCTGTCATTGCACTCAGGACATACACATATGGGCTTTGTCTCTCATGGCACATTAACAGAGTTAGTTAGTTAGTTAGTTATTCCTCTTGTGCCAAAGATGGCGCATAGGGCAGAGGTCATAGCTTTCCACGTCTGTCGGTTCTTTGCCACTTGATGTAGGTCTTGAGTGCGACTGAGACCTATGGTTGAGCTCTCCCTTGTGATGGTTCTACGGAGAGTTTCTTTTGGTCTTCCCTGTTTTCTTTTACCCTCTGGTGACCATATGAAGGCTTGGTGGGGAAGTCTCTGTATGTCCATTCTGAGTACGTGACCGATGTAATTCCAGCGACGCTTTCTAATAAAATCAGACACATATTTTTGTTTTGTTTCCTGTCTTATAGATGTATTGGACCTAAAGTCCGCCCAGTGAACATTCAATAGCTTTCGGAGGCATCTATTCTCGAAAGCGACTAGTTTCTTATCGATTGATACTGATGATTTCCAACTCTCACAACCATAAGTTAGCACTGGGATGACACAGGAATTGAAGACCTTAAGTTTCGTGTTGTTGCTGAGTGATCTTGACTTCCAAATGTTTGACAGTTTGTTAAAGGCACTTGATGCTAACGCGATTCGAGTCGTTATTTCTGATGTTGTATCTCCCGCAGAGGTTATCTTGCTCCCTAAGTATGTGAAGCTGGTGATTTTTTCAAGAACAATATCCTTTAGTTTGATGTCTTTCGACTCGTTGGTAAGATCGATGATTTTCGTTTTGGCTGCGTTGACCTGAAGGCCGATTTGGCTTGAAATATTCTGGAGGCGGTCCATTTTTTCCTGAGCTTCTAGATGTGTTGTGCTCATGAGTGCTAGGTCGTCAGCAAAGTCAAGATCTTCGAGAACTTTGTCGACCCATTTGATGCCTAGATGTGTGTCCTGTGTGCATTTGCGCATGACCCAATCGAGTGCTATTCCGAAAAGCATCGGTGACAAGACACATCCTTGTTTCACGCCTGTTTCTACTGGGAACCAATCAGAGTTACCAGATTCCGTTCTAACAAGGCAGCGGGAATCATTAACAGAGTACAGGTTGTTAATTGTTCCCATAGCTGTTTGTTGTTATTGCAACAAATAAACAGTTCTTTCTAGCATATATGTAGATTAAAAATTTTAAAATAAAGAGGCTATTATTTAAATACAGGTAAATTACTTCTATTTTTACCTGCAGTACAAATAGAAGCCTTACACGAACCACTTGTATCTGACCTAACTGATAATTGAGGACTATCATCATAACACCAACATCTTCATCATCAGCATCAGCATCATCATCATCATCATATGCCCAGCTCAGCGTTCACCTGCCGTACATTGCTGGGGAAAGTTCTGGTTGTTCATCCACTTCTTGTCTTTAATATTGTTCCAGAACTTAAATTCTGCGTGCAAATCCATTTTAAAGATCTAGCTTATTTGTATGCAGACTGTTGGTTCCTTACCTCTCAGACAGATGCACTCCGACTTTGAAGGGAACACCTGTTATTAGTTGCCTTGTACAACATGCTTGTTTGGGAGGCTGTGGTTCAATTCTTTTTTGTCCCAGAACCCACACAGGGAATATTATAGTTTTATATTACTTTGTTTTGCAACTAAAAGGTATGTATACTGAACTTTGACCTACATGTTGTAAGTAAACATGTTAAGGAGGATGAAGTGGCATGTGTTACATATGCCAGTTAAGATATATGAGTTCCATATCTAAATGTTACATACATAAGCTGAACTTTGACCCACTTATTACAAGTGGAGAGTGAAGGGTTCTGCTGAGAACGAAGAAGGAACAAACTTTATTTTCAAAGGGTCACAAATTGGGCACACAGGCCCCTCTTGCATATGGCCCTTCTAAACACCCATCTTTTGCAAAGCAGTTGTATTTTATCAATAGAGCGTGTTATGTTCATTTAATAATATGCATATTATGAATATCAAGGAAAAAAGTGTGGGTGGTAAAATGTATGTGCACACATGTGCGCATACACATGCAAATCCACTCGCTCCGTTACACACACGCGCGCACACACATATATACACATACACCCACATACATACACATATGCTGAGAATCTACAGAAAGGGCATTTTTAGACAATGTCAACCTGCCGGTAGAATTGGATAAATTCCAACTGTTTTATCCAGCCATTCTTAATGGCTTTGTCCAGCCATTCCACCCTCAAAGACTTTTCCAAGCACTCTCAGATACTTGTCTCACTTTTCACAGATGTTTTGTTCAACCACTTTCAAAGACTATCTGAAGATGCACAGTCTTATTCAGTGTGTTTGTTGTAGCAATTAAAACAGATGACATCTGATTAAAAGTTGTCCCCATGTGGATTCAGGAATCCCATTATGGGGAAAACAAGAATAGACTCACTGCCTCCCTAACAAGCATGTCAGAGTACATCAGCCTGAGAGGCAAGGAACCAACAGTCTGCATGCAAATGAGTTGTATGTGTAAAACGGATGTGCACACAACACTCAGGTTCTGGAACAAGACTAAAGTCTAGCAGTTGATGAATAACCAGAACTCTCCACCAGAGTTTACAGCTGGTAAATGCAGAAAAAAGAAGAAGGGGAAGAAGATTCAAAGCTGAGTACCAACCCCTCTGAGAGAGTTATAAATAAGAGATCAGTTGTCTCTCAGTTCCCATACTCTGACGTGCTTTCCCATCCATGGATTCAAAGTCATTTATAAGTTGTGCTTTGTATCCATTTTTAAAACAATGTGATTTCAATTGATCTGGATGTCCTTGTTGACACATACAATGCAATATTCAGGAAATGGCTGAATGGGTTATCAGTTCTGCACTAGTTAATACTTGCTGGTTTGGCATTATATCAGCTTTTATGGCTTTTTAATGTGTATATTTTGCATGTTAGTGTCAATATTACAGGGGAATATTTAATTTGCGAAAGTGTTTTCGGAAGATGAATGTTTGATGTTGCTCTTAGGGTGTTTCAGGGATTATGTGTGCCAGTTTGGGTTTTGAAAGAGGAATATATTAGACACTATTAAGAAATTTACAGCGTAATGATTGTATCAGTATGTTTTTTTTTAAAGAAGAAATGTTTATGTGATCATAGTGATTCTACTTATGGGGTGGGGAGGGGGGTAATTGAAAGTAGCAGTGTGGTTTTTTACAGTGCAGAGCTGTCACCTTTGAGCTAGTTCCACTGCTTAGACACCTAGATGTCTCCCTTCCTGGAAAACAGTAAATGATTAACAGCATCTTTATCCCTGCTTTATGCTGTCAGTGTCAAACAGAGCACTAGCGAAGAAAATAATTTACATGTGAAATGTGCTGTATCCTTAAGGTCACTAACAACACAAAAAGGGGCTGGGTTATGAATATCAGCATATCATATCAGAGAGAAAGTTGAAATAAGATCATGTCTGAATTATATTGACAGGCAACAAAACATGAAATGGTTCAGCCATCTAGTGTGAATGCTGCCAGATCAACTGCAAATGAGACTTCTCATAGCATAACATCTGGGAGGGGAAAACCAAGAAAGAGATGGAGAAATGGTGTAGATGAAACCTGCAAAAAGAACAAATTCCCTTATCCAAGCCACCGGAGAAGAGCAAGACAAATCTAGAAAACCATGACACTGAACTACAATCTGGTATCTGTGAGATGACAGAAGAAGAATAGACTAATTACATGTGAGAAAACTATGAGACATTACAACAAGAAGCAGATAAAAACTGCAGATGGATCAGAGATCATATGTAGATGGTAACAAACTTTAAGGCCCACTATGAGGAGATATAAGCTTGTAAATGTACAGTAAACTGGCTAACTTCATATAAACAAAGTTAAAACAAATACAAAGAGATAAGCACTTGGGTTACCTGGACGCGTTGTATAAGTGAGATATAGACACATGCCTGATCCAGGACTTTGGGGATTATGAAAGGTGGTAAATGATGATCGCTTATGTTTACTAAGACCTGTTAACTTGATACATGATGGATTATTTTATGTGCCATTGTGGCTTCTTTTTCTCCTCCTCCTCGTTTTTCTTCTCCTCGTCTCCCCCTTCTTCTTCTTCTTCTTCATCTTCTTTTTCTTCTTCTTCTTCTTCTTCTTCTTCTTCTTC